GCACTGAAATCCTCTTCTGGCAAAACATACAATAGGCAGTCCAGGTTCATCTTACAGTTAAAAATGAAATAAGACAGGGAAGTAAATGACAATGTTCCTATTACCCCTAAGTCTCCAAAGTGAGTAAGCCCATTACCATATTTCGTAAAAGGAACGAGCATTTCTCCTATACTACTATTAACTCTACAAAGTGTTATGACGAGAAAATACAAATCAGGAATATTGGAAAATGTAAACATGATCAAAGCTCTTTTATCCCAAGTCCTCTTTCTGTGTATCCCTACTCTTTTACCTGAGTGGAAGTTGGAGCTTTTCCATGACACAGTCCCAACAGGCTTCCCATCTTTAGCTCTGCTTCTTTGACAGTATAATCCTCAGGCACTTTAGAGAGGAGAAAAATATAGAAAAACACAATAAAAGTTTGTTTCCAAAAAATATTAATGCTGCCAGTGTGGTCATTAAAGTGATGATGCAAACACTTAACTGTTAATATATTTATTCATGCTTAGTTATCCAATCCATTCTAAAATCCTGCTACTGTGTATCAACTTTAATTATTTAACAATATTAACATTGATTTTATAATGTTTATAGGAATAGATGTTGTAAATCCACAAAGAGGGATTCTACTTTTCCTGAAACAGTTAGCAAGCAGCCTTAAAAATGAAGAGAGCTATGGACTCATATTTTTAGCAAGATTCAAATTACTCTATTTTCTTTATACATTTATTTACATGGCTTACTTACTGAATACTGATAGTTCTTTTCATCTACATACAGTATATTGTATTGGATAACTGTTCACCTTTTGTGCATTTCTGCAATGATCCAGCACCCAGTTCCTAATTAATACACGATTGGTAATAAAGTATTTAATATCAGTGAATTTAGATGCAAGTAATAAAAAAAAGACAATTAAATGGTTTATTTGTCTGATAGTGGAAATGCTAATAGACAAGTATTACTACTGGAAAAAGTCTCCTGTTTTGATTAATTATGAAAACACCATGAAATGCTGATTCATCACTTTAATGTGATATTAGACTTCTGTATAGGAGCTGGGTGAAATTGTTACAATGAATAGTTTATTTGGTCAACCTGAAACTATTTGGCAAACACAATAAGAATTCATGAATAGATTAGACATTACTGAAAACCTGAAATATTTCAGTAATACACCTCTACCTCGATATAACGCTGTCCTCGGGAGCCAAAAAATCTTACCGCATTATAGGTGAAACCGCATTATATCGAACTTGCTTTGATCCACTGGAGTGCGCAGCCCTGCCCCCCGGAGCACTGCTTTACCACGTTATATCCGAATTCATGTTATATCGGGTCGCATTATATCAGGGTAGAGGTGTATAACAACAAAACAGTTTCATTTCAACATTACCAAAATATTTTGAGTTTTTGGGCTGGAGTCACAAAGTAGCCTGAGGCAACACCACAGCCCTCCTTTTAACTTTTAGCACTGTGGCAAGGGTCCAATTCCTTCTCTTCTTGACAAGGAGAAGTGCTTTGAACATTGGTGTCCCACACTGCAGGCGCATGTCCTAGTCATTGGCCTAGGGGGTATTCTGGGGTGGGTCTCTGTCCATCTCTTCTCTCAAGTTGCTCCAGTTTGTATCAACAATTAGAGAAGAAACTGGAACTTGGGTCTCCCATGTCTCAAGGGAGCGGCCTAGCCATCGCGCTACAGAACAACTCTCACTTTCTCCCTGGCCCAATGACTATTCATTATAATTATGAATGACTATGAACTGCCACTATGAATGGCAGTGAATCCATTATTCACCCAGCTATACTTGTATGTTCTATTAAATGAGCAATATAGCAACTATGCATTTTCTCCTTAATTTTATTTGAAAGATTACTAGAGTGGCTTACCTGGAGAGAGAAGCTTCCCATTTCTGTTAATAGGTCTGAGACAGCTATCATCCACTACAATGGAGGAAAAAGAAGGACAAGATGGACTAAATAGATTAAAATCAAATTAAATTTGGCTCAGCTGTTTGGAGTGATAGAGGACTGAAAATTAACAAACTAACAGGTTTAGCTAATTAGAGGCATCTCATAGTTGAAAAATTGTTGTCCCTAAGGTGCAACACCAACATCACAACTTGGTAACACTTCCCAGAGGTCCAGAAAACACTGCTAGCCTTGCCTCCTCGGCTGGACATTGCTTTCCTTTTATAAAGTCAGCTACCTTAGCAATAATAGCTTGAATATTGCGGCTGGCCAAAGTTTCCAACTTTGGACACACATTTTTAAAAATGCCTTGAAATAAGTCTTATAGCGAGGGATAGAAAGTATCAGTCTTACAGGAAGGCAATTTACCGGTCTCAGAATTGCTTTCGTTTGCAATGTGTTTGGTTTGTTTTTTAAAACAAGATGACAAAGTTATTTGACGTGCAAAAAATGGCTTCCAGGAAAAGTAGTGGGTGGATATAAATAAGGTACTCCTAGAATATGTATTTTTTCAACAGCAGTCAGTGTGGTACATTGCAGTATTTTTAGCAGGAAGGTTTGTCATTTTATTCACAACTAGAGGAGTCTCAAATCCCTTACATCCTGCAGCAAAGAAAAATTATTAAAAAGTCTTAATAGTAAAGATTAACTCCCATATCTCAAGTAATCTCCCTTTTGTAAACTATAAAAGCTATCTAGCAAACTGCAATAACCATTTTACCAACTAAATAATTATTGAAAAGGTTATTTACCTAGCTCCTCCCCTAATTGCAGCTCCTGTATTGCTTTAATTTTGATATCTGACATCACCTAAGAGAGAAATATTAGTGACTATGTAATATAATAGACTATGCAAAAACAGAATGCAAGCTGTGTGTATATATAAGGCATTCAAGCACTAAGAAAGACTATCACTCTTCATTTAAAGTGCATTAATTTCTCTTCCATTTTGCTATAGCATTTTGCAAATCTGAGAAAATATCTCTTTAATATAATACCAATTTTCATGGTCACATTTTGGGATTTTTAAAACCATCAGCCCCCTCCCACCCCCCAAAAGCAAATACAATATCATCAGACTACAGAGCAAAAGAAAATGCACCAAACAAGGAACGAGAAACTGATGCACTATCCTGCACATAATGTTTAATATTCTTTCTATAGAATGAAACAACAATAGGAGAAAGAGCAAGAGAAGTCTCAGAGGATTTATATCTTATGACAAGTTTAGAAAAGTGAAGTTGTATTTAATGTAGAAGGAGATTAAGAAGACAACTTAGGTGTATAAATAACGTGGGTGATGAAATCAGATAAAAAGATTTGAGGAGATGGGAATAAGATTCAGAAGATAGAAGAGTTTGAGATTTTCTACATAAAGTAATTAACATGTAAAATACTCATAAAAGAAGCAATAAAGGATACGGACGTGAATATGTTAAAAAAAGAGAGGACTCACACAGAAACCAAAATCTAAGTTGAATAATTAAAATAGCTTTAGATGAAATGCACAAATTCCTTCTGTTCTTTGACTGTTAAGATCTTACTAAAACACACAGTGCACCATTTTTTCCTCATCGTACCCTTGTAACAAGAACTATTTTCTTCATAAAGAGATATTTAAAGTTCTGTTCTCCAGCACAGTCTCTTGCAACACATTGTTTTCATGATGGCCCCATAGAAAAGCTGCTGTAGAAGTTTACTAATCTAACTCAGTGAATGTTAGTCTTCTTTAGGTTGTGATGCATTATGTAATTTAAAAAGTTTCTTCAAAGCAGACATGCATGTGCCTGTCTCATTTACACAAACAATGTAGCTTATTTCGGCTCGTGTGGGTGGCAATGCCAAGCCTGCCACCCATGCTGTTTTGCTGACATAAGCTATTGTACTTAACTGAAAATTCCCAAGATGAAATCCTGGTCTCACTGAAGTCAATGGGAATTTTGCCATTGATTTCAATAGGGCCAGGATTTTACCTCCTGTGATTAGCCCAACTGAACTGAAGAAGCTGTGCAGTGTAAGAGAAGAATTCTGTTATATCCCTGAACAGTTGTAACTCTTTTACTCACTGTTTCAACAGTTGCAGTAATTTTAACTTGCTTCTCGTCAGCTTCCAACCGGCAGAAATTTTTAACTTGTAGCCAGCTGATATCATGCATAAAAGCAGTCAAATTGCCACTTGCCATGTTCACCAAGCTGCAAACAAGATATATTTAGAGCGCATATTTATCTACTATATGTAAGCAAAGAATACAGGGAAAATGTTGCTTATGGCGAGGAAGACTGCTAAATGCCACAGTGTCTTATTGTTTATATATGAACTAGGTCTTATTACTACTGCTTATAACATGGTGACACCCAAAGACCCCTGTCAGTATCAGGGTCCTTCTGTGGTAGGTATTGTTAAAACAGAAGTAGTTCTAGGGTAAATTTTTCAAAAATGCCTTAGGGACTTAAGGAGCCTAATTTCAATTTTCAAAAGGGATGTAGGCAGTAGGGAGTCTAAGGGTATGTCTACACTATAAAATTATATTAACCTAAATTACAGTGAGGTACAGCCACCGCAGTAACTAAGCAACAGAGGGTCCTGTGGCACCTTTAAGACTAACAGAAGTATTGGGAGCCTAAGCTTTCGTGGGTAAGAACCTCACTTCTTCAGATGCAAGTACTTGCACCAATTTAACTGGCATTGTGGGACTGCTTCTGAAAAGCAACAACAGTCAACCTAACTAAATCAATGTTGATTTTACGCTTCTCGTGGGGCTGGAGTTAAGTTGGTGTAGCGGGCAAGTTACATTGGCCAGGAGTGACATTTTAGTGTAGTCGCTTACAGAGTTAGGTAGATATAAACTGCCGTACGTCAACCTAACTCTGTAGTGTAGACCAGGGCTAAGGCTCATCAAAAGCCAATGTTATTTTTAAAAATGGGACTTCAGCCCAGAAACTCCTGTTTACACTAGAAAGTTAGGTCAACCTAGCTATGTCGCTTACAGGTATGAAAAATTCACATGCCTGAGAGATGTGGTTAAGCCAACCTAAGCTCCAGTGTAGACCATGCTAGGAAGAACACTTTCCATCACTGTAGTAAATGTTTATGCTACAGCGGCACAGCTGCAACAGCAACCTTTCTAATGTAGACATACCCTAAATCAGTTATTCAGAAAAATTTTACCCATAGCCCCTGCACTAAAAAGCTACTTTGATCTCCAGAGGCCCAGGTTTCTATTTGTTTTTATACACAAAGGAAATTAATTTGGTGGGCTTAAGCCAACATGATCTTACTACTACTACTATTACTACTACTAATAAATGGAGATATACCTATCTCATAGAACTGGAAGGGACCCTGAAAGGTCATCGAGTCCAGCCCCCTGCCTTCACTAGCAGGACCAAGTACTGATTTTGCCCCAGATCCCTAAGTGGCCCCCTCAAGGAATGATCTCACAACCCTGGGTTTAGCAGGCCAATGCTCAAACCCACTGACTATCCCTTCCCCATTCATACAATTTTTCCACAATCAGAACTTCTTGCTCAGCAAAATGGCAAGTGTTGGAATATCAGTAGCATTCCATTTAAGAGGAATGATTAATGAGTCGATCTGCCGGTGGAAATGTACTCTGCTCCTGACAGAACTTTTGTTAGATCTTGACATTTGTTTTTGTCCTTGTGGTTTCAGGCACTGGCGTAGGACTCAGGATATCTGGGTTCAACTCCTGGGTCTCTCCAAAGACTTCCTATATGACCATGGGGAAAGTCACTATTCACTTCAGCTCCCCGTCTGTATGATGATGAGAATATTACGTTTTCAAACCCTTTCCCAGTCTTGTCTATTAAGATTTAAGTTCTTCAGGGCAAGGACTGTCTCTTACTCTTCCACACAGTGTCCAGCACAAAAGGGCAGGCCCCTAGGCACTACCATAACATTGACAATAATGAGTAAAATACAGCCAGTATTACACACACACACAAAAAGTCTTTGTAATTAACCCAATAAATATTTGAAACGGAGGGGTATATTACTACGTATATACCAAATGCAAGTTTGTACACATGCAGCATTAGGATTAATTGCACTTCCCTCCTAAGAGGAAAACCATTTTGTGCTTACAACTGAATTTTTACTTTTTGCCCTTTAATAAGTGCTAGTCAAGTAGTAGTGTTTTACAGGAAATCACCAGGTGTCACTACTCATAACTGTTCTAGTTATGGGTGCGAAGCAGTTTCCATTGCAACCTTGTTCTCACATCTCCATAACCGACACTAGCTTGGCTGATGTTTTCTATACCTGGTCTTTGACCAAAATGTGAAATTTGTTTGCTTGACAAAACTCCGTAGGGTTTAAGTGATGTATTTTGTGGGGAAATATGCTTTTCTGCATTGTAAAAATATTCTAATCATGCTGAGTACCATAAAACACTTACATTTCAAGTCTTGGTATGAATATAGTCCCCAATGGAGAACTTGTTGCTTCACTTTTTATATTTAAAATGTTTTAAAACTTTAATGTAACCGATAAGTCAAAATTTATATCAAGAGCACTTGCAGTTGAAAATTTCCTTATGTCTGGAGGGGTGCACTTTACTAATTGCATTTTCATGCACAGAGCCTTCCATTTAAGTGAACATTTGGCTGTTTCAGAGAATTGAAAAGGTCAACTGGCAAATCCAACACAGCTGTATGCTGCCCAGGACAATTGTTACAATTCTCCTCTCCCACCACCACATACAATCCCCTTAAAGATATCCTATGAAGTTAAATGCAAATTAATCTCCCATTCCTGAAGTTGCATTAAGTACTTAAACACCATGAAATTCCAGAAGCATTAGCTCAGCCATGTTGCATACATAAAGAGCTTCTTATTGCTCTTTCCCTTGTTAAAATGTAAACCTCTGTTCTTCACATACACCATAAATGCACAAAGGATGTTCAACATGGCAAAGTTAATGTTGCTGTAGCAATCATAACTTTTTAGAATTTCCCCGACTTCTAAGTGCTCCATTTCACAACCCTGAGATCATCGCATTAATGGTGGTGGCAAAATGATTAACAAGAATAGCAATGAGAACATGTAACAATGTAATTCTAGTCAAAGGAATTCTGCTTTGTTAACTGTCTCCTAACTTTGAAACAAGTGCTTAATAGGAAAGAAACACAATTATGACATTTACCTTTGGTCATGGCTATCTAAAACTAATATTGAGCTTCCATCTGCCAGGCCAACAATTCTGACTGTCTTCCTCATATCCTCTTCAGGAACGACTTGCCAATTCTCCACCTCTTTGTCAGATCCCGAACGGTTCATTAAGATGATCCCTCCTGGCGATGCTAAGGCTTTCCACAGGGTACTCAGTTCTGCACTGCATGGAACGACATGCTGGGATTCGATGAAATGCTGACCTTTTCCTCCTTCATTATAGCCCGCCAACCGAAGAACATTTAGAAGCACGGGTTCATGGTCAAGACCTGGTAACACCTTCATACCACCAACCTGTAGGAAGCATGTAATATCTGCAGATGAAGGGTAATCAACAATAGCAAGAGACCTACGAAGTCTTGCTTTTCCCCCCACACCTCATTAGAATTAAGTCTCCCCTGACTGAATTCCACCTGAACAGCTTGCTAAAGAATATCAGAGGTGTCAAGAAGGGGATATAATGGGAACCCAGGGATTGCTGTAACTCTGCATCCATTCTGAAAATACTGGTGGTAAAGGAAAAAAATTGGGACAATAATGGAGCCATTTAATCTTTTAGCACAGAAATCCAGAGAACATCTGCAGCAATATTACCTGGATCTGACCACTAACATACTGAATCTAAGCTTCAGTCAGATGAATAATCATTGTCAATCCTCATTGATTTACCCCTTCAAGATATTTATGAACTACACACTTTTATTCAATACAAAAATATATACGAATAAGACCAAGACAGCCCAAAAACTTAAAGTAATTTGGAAGTAAAGTTGGGCTATTCTGAAGTTTAGCAAGAGAACAAAAATAAATGTGCATGTCGAGAACAAAAGCTGAGACTGTTAACATTAAATTAGTTTTAGTTAGTTATTGGATAAATCCTTACTATACAGAGACCTTTATGTTCAAAAGAAGAGAACGATCCAAGGACAGTGTGCTGTGTTCAATTAATTATTCTTTTATATATGGTATCAATCACTGATGCAGATTTAGCTGTCTGCTGGATGTTGTGCAGCTGAGCAAATTTTTGTTATTGCATCATAAACTGACCTAACAGACAGCAAATTTAAGAATCTGCTTTATTTAATTGGTATGGAATTAAAAAAAAATCTATATAGTAATTGTGACGGGCTGGATCACAGAAACCCCCTTGGGAGCTGCCACCTAATGTGCAAAGACTACCCGTTTCTGTTTTCCCTGCCAGCTCAGGACTCCAGCACCCTGTCTTGCTGAGCCAGACACTCCCATCTGGCTCCAGACA